GTAGAATTGAGGTTGTCTTCGACTCCACAGCCCTGCTTAACACCAGGGTGAAGGTCGTCCAGGTGTGGTGGGTGTCCTGGAGCATTATCTAAAATTAATAAAATCTTGAAGGCAACCCCTTGTTGCAGACAATACTCCTTGGCTATTGGAATGAAACTCAGGAACCAATCCTCAAACAGTGCTAGGGTCATCCATGCTTTCTTTTTACTGCGATAAAACACTGGCAGTGTGTGCTTGCTGACATTTTTAAAAGCCCTTGGGTTCTCTGAATGATATATCATGAAGGGTTTTACCTTGAAACCAGCTACGATCCCCCCCAACACTAGTGTGATTCGGTCCTTGAATCCCGGCATGGTTTTCGCCTCTTTGTGGATGTATGTCCGTTCTGGCATGAGCTTTCAGAATAAGCTAGTTTCAGCCACATTAAATATTTGCTCAGGCAAATAATTTCCCTCCATGATGACACGATCTAGCTCCTCCTTAAAAGCTTCGGCAGCAGCCACATCAGCACTTGCTGTCTCTCCACTCAACTTTACACTGTGCAAATTGTAACGTTTCTTAAACCTTTCGAACCACCCAAGACTTGCTGTGAAGTTTTGGTCGCACTCATCTCCTGCCTGCTCTTTCAGGCTTTTGAAAAGGCTTCATGCCTTAGTGTGTATGGTTAGAAGGCTTAAGGGTACAAGCTTTTGCAGCTGATCTTCCATCCACATCACAAGTAATTTTTCCATCTCATGAAAAGGACCTTGTTTTTTTCGTTATCATTGTTCCCTTCATAGGTGCTGATCCTTTCACTACCTCACGAATTCGTTCCTTTTCCTTCAAAATTTTTGATATCGTCGAGTGAGAGAAGCCAAGGTCGCGTGAAATGGTTGCTCCCGGTTTTCCATTTTCATATTGCATTATTATTTTCATTTTCATCTCAAAAGTAATTGACTGTCTCTTTTTCTTCTCAGCACCACGAGAACTCTCACTTTTACGCTTGCCAGCCATTTCAAAGGGAATTACAAACGAAAATTTTGTCAGTAAACAGCGCGATCACTAACCACAACGACAGCCAAACAACAGCTGAGCAGGCTACAGTGTGGATGCTGTACACCACGAGGCAGCCCATGCTGTCGTATAGGGTCACATTACGACCAAATGTTTCAGGACTCGAAAATATGTAATGAGAAAAATATTTTATACGACCATGGCGGTCGTATGTCCAGGTTGTCGTAAGTCGAGGAGAGACTGTATATGATGACAGACAAAAAATAGATTGCACATCAAACAGTGACAGTGTATCCACTTCCTATTCAGTAGCTAGGAGATTCATACAAATACAAAACTTTGTAAGCTTTTCCTGCTAGGCCTTCATACCACATAGAGGTGTTGCTCTAATAAAGTAGATCGTCGATGTAACGTGAGATACATTCCAAGAGAGGTAGCTTTAAACCCAATTTGCACTAAATCGAAGTGTTATTTCAATGGAATAATTTAGTTTGGTACTTGAGAGAAATAAAAAATACTAAAAAGACTGACAGTCTACCCAGATGCACCTCAGCCCATCTCCTAGAACAAGCAAAACATTGTTTTTTGTAGTGTTATGTTAAAAGAAACACTCATAAATCAACAACGCTAAAATTAAGGGATGCGAAATGATTTGTTTACTGGTTGGGAAGATGGGGGGAGGGAAGGAGGTGAGGTGATATGTTTGACAGTTGATGCCAAGGTCTATTGCTTATTTATTTATCTGTCCTTAAGAGTGACTTTAAATTTTTCTCTTATAAATTGTCACTGAACTGATCTGGGAGAATATAATTAACATTGCTGGAATTCTTATAAGATAGTGATTAGTTTGAATATACATTATACATGCTATAGTTTGCATTAGACATACAAATTCTAGTTTTAATGAATTCTATTACAAAGGGCAAAATTTTTTATCTTTTGCATTGCAAGAATTCTAGGAATGCAAATTATATTCTCCTAACTTTCGTCTGTGGTATTATATAAGATAAAAACTGTAAGCCTATAACTACCCTACCCTGGCTGGGAAGTTGGGGGGGGGGGGTTGACAGTGACACGTTTGACAGTTGGAGGCCGAAGGTCTAGCAAAGTATTTATTTGTTTATTTATGTCCTTTAGATTGAGTTTTTGTTTTTTGTTTATAAAATGTCACAGAAGTGACCGGGGAGAATATATTTACATTGCTGGAATTCTTATAAGATAGTGATTAATTTGAATATAATCATGCTATAGTTTGCACTTGACAACAATTTTAGTAATCATTTAGTACATTATTTTGAGTACATGTACAGTACAACTTCGCCCTTAGGACAGAATAGCGTGCCCAGAGAATCATTAGGCGTGAATTTTAAAATATGATGCGCCAGATTGACTCACGCAAAATAGGAAAGTTTCACTTTAAATTAAAACATTGTTCTTAATTGTGGGTGTCGCTTTAAATCAATAATCATAAATTGAATCGCTTTAAATGGACATTCTACTGTACCATATTGATGACTCAACTTGAGGGCACTCCCATGGTAAGACACTTCATAATTTCCATTTCCTGCTGCATTTAACACTACTGTACTCACATCCTCTTTAGTTGACAGTGAACTTCAGAGAATAATGAAGAGAGGCAATTATCAGAAGACATGATAATTAAGTAACATGATGCACTTTGATAAAATTATCAAAATGCATGCAGACAACTGCCTGTTTATTTTGCCTGTTGAGTCACAGATTTGATTCCCAGCTTAAAAGGAGGAATGGTTTACCACCTTCCATACTAACACTTGCACACTCAGTACTAAACTGAATACAGTACACTAATGGTTGCAATTTCTGAAGCAGGAGCAATCCTACAGGGGACTAGCATCATGGTAAGGGGAAGGGGTAAACTGATTGCTTCTGAATGCTAAGAATCAGGGGACTTCAAAGAAGAAAAGTATCAAAAATGTTTATACATCCACAAATGACACACTTAATCATGTAGTTAAGACGTTACCTTTGTCCCTTAGTAAGAGAAGGTTTATATGTTTTCTTCTCCTCAATGCCTTCATATCTACAGTTGGTGGTGCTGTAGCCATGACCAGTGCGAGATGATCCCTAAAAATATGAATAAAGAATTGAAGACATATATGAATAAAAAGTATTTCATACACAAAGTTATTATTTTAAACATCAATACATACAAAACACAGTAGCAGACCGTCTTCTCAGTTAAGTCATCCAAGGTAAGGCAACTGTGAGTGAAGTGGCATAACAAGAGTGTAAATTGATACTAGTTCACTCACACAAGGCTAGTAAAGTTGTTTGAGTTATTAGTCCAGTAGCATAGTATGATTTAATCCATTATTTTCATGTAAAAATAACATTATACCTTAAAAATTACAATTTTCAGGGTTTCAAAAACTTATCAATGTCTTTCCTAGGGTTTTGTTCCCCCACATGGATCTGATTTGTTTCAGTGTAATTTAGCTGATAGTGCATGTTATATATGAACATTCTAATTAAATTCCAGTGCAAAGGCTGGTTTACGCGTAGGAAGTGGCTACTTGGCCGGGAATTCCCGGCTGGAGGCTATTTGCCAGGTAACCACTTGTGACAAGCTGGTGTGCTCAGCAATCGTATTCTCGGCTAATTCACGTGCCATTCTAATATTACACTTAATAAGAATTTTCTTTATTAAAAGTACAGTACAGGTACTCCTCGACTTATGACCGCCGCAGTCGTACAATTTTTTTTCAAATTACATATTTTCGAGTCTCAACGTTAGTGATAACGCTGTGTATTTAGAAATTTTTTGTTTGTAATCCCCTTTAAAATGGCTGGCAAGCGTAAGAGTGAGAGTTTTGTGGTGTTGAGAAGAAAAAGAGACACCCACTTTAGATTTTCTATGTATTATTTTCGCATTTTCGACTTACGACAAATTCGACTTACGAACTGGTTGTCGGTCCCTAACTCCGCCGTAAGTCGGGGACTGACTGTACAGGCACCCCCCGGGTTACGGAAACTCTGGCTACGGAAATTGGTGTCTACGGAATTGGGAAATTATAGCCAATAAATTTGGCATACACCCAAAAAATTCACCCTTACAGAATTGTGGTAAATTTTTTAGTTTTTCAAACATAAAAATCATGATAGATAACCAAAAAATTCACCAAAATTATTAAATTTATTTTGTGTGGATTCTTGGCGGTTACTAGAATATGGTGGAGGCTGGCGTGCATACACATGCCAATGGTGCTGTTCAGTTTGATTTTAAACCCCAGCTTGTTCAGTTTTGCATCTGTGTTTCTGTTATTGTGTATCCTTATTCAAGACGAATGAAAAAAAGCCATCAAATTCAAGTGAAAGCAGTGGTGCTAAAAGATCCTGTAAAGGAATTACATTGGACATTAAACTTGATGTTTTTAGGAAGTTTGATGAGGGAGAAAAACTTAGCTACAACACCCAAAAAATTAGGCTTTGTTACGTCTACAGTGGGTACAATACGTGATAATATAGATAAAATTGTGTCAAGTGCTCAAGCAGCTACTTTCATAGAAGTACTGTAATGTGATGCATAATATGGAACAACTCCAAAGTGTGTGGCTCGCAGACCAAAGCAAACGAAATGTGCTGATAAACACGATGATCATCCAGGAGAAAGCAGAAAGTTTGTATAATGATTTGCCAAAAGAACAAGGTGTAAGTTTGATGCAAAATCTTTTCTGTCTAGTAAAGATTGGTTTGAAAGGATTAAAAAGCACCTGCAGCTGCATAACTTTAAGATGGTCAGTGAAGTTGCCAGTGCTGATACAGAAGCTGCCTGTAAATATCCAAAAGTACTGAAGGCAATTATTGCTGCAGAAGGCTACACACTAAAACTATTGTATAATGTGGATGAACTGGACTTTTTGGGAAAAGCATGCCTGCTAGGACATTCATTTTCAAAGAAGAAAAGTCAGCACCAAGTTTTAAGGCTTCAAAAGATTGTCTAATACTTCTTTTTGGGAGGAAATGCTGCCGGTGATACGAAATTAAAGCACCTACTTGTGTACCACTCTGAAAATCCAAGGGCTTTCAAGGGCTACACCAAGTCTAAACTACCAGTGATTTGGAGATCAAACAAGAAAGCTTGGATGACTATGAGCCTTTTTCAAGATTGGTTCACAAATTATTTTTGCCCTGCTGTTGAAAAGTACAGTAACAGGCAAAATACATCCAACAAGACTCTGCTCATCTTAGATAATGCACCCAGCCACCCAATTAACCTGCATTATCTTTCTGAATATGTGTGAGTGGAATATATGCCCAAGTTCACAAACTTTAAGGCCCATTATCTTAAAAGAACATTTACACAACTCATAGCTTCAATTGATGAGGAGGACAAACCAATAGTCAGGTTCTTCTGGAAGAATTTCATCATGAACGCCATGGAAAAGGAGTCGTGGGATGAACTGAAAACAGCAACCATGAATGGAGTGTGGAAAAACATATGGCCAGAGTGTATAAACATTTTTCAAGGTTTTCCCTCAGTAGAAACAATAAATGAAGTTCACCAAGAAATTGTAACACTGGCAAATGGTGTACGGGTAGGCTTTAAAGAAGTTATACCGTGGCCTCAGGGAAAAATAAAGCAAAAAAGAACACAACCTAAGTCCACGATGTAACAAAGCTCACTTTATTACTGTACTTGTGCAACATTATTCTAGTATTTTCACTTATTGCTTCCAGTGCTTACCCTGTTAAACTGTAAATTTTAACATTTATAAGGGGTACTGCACAGGAAGGCACATAAAACACTTGGAATCTTTAGAAAATCACATATTCTGACCTTACCATGATTAGTCCAAAGCATTGATATTCTATTGCGCACACATTACAAAATATGAAAGACAAAATTTACAGACAATTATCCAAAAAACTGGGGTTAAACATAAAAAAAATTTCTATTACATAAACACAGATACTTTGTTACCTTATAGTATGGAGGAATAAGCCCCCACATCATGGGATGTATGACATATTGCGGTGACAGTCCTTCACCTTCTATTGCTCTCTTTGTTCCACGCACATGATGCTCACTGAGGATAAAGAAAATGTGTTACCTAACTGTTAGAGAAGGATTGTTAAAAGATGGAAGTGAATGAGAAAAACTGACAAAAGCAACGAGGGACTTCTTTCATGAACCCAACACACTTGTAATAATGGACTGAACTGTAGTTCATGATTGAAGTTTTATTTACTGTTTCTTTATGCCCTTTGCCCCTGTCTACCCAGCACTAATTGAAACATGGATGTTAATAAATTTGTGGATTGTGTTCTGGGGTAGTGGTTAGCCAGTGCATTTGGCAAATTGTCTGGTCTTCTTGGATTATACCTCGAAACTGTGTCACACAGCTCATTAACTTTAGGTGTGGTTGTTGCATTGGCGACAGCTTCTACACCTTAAACAAATTCACGACTATGTGGCCCTAGGGCCAACCATCTTCGAACACATGGGGCAACCATTATTATAATACTGTACATGTTACTGGTCATCAACTACAGGGAGTTTCAACATAATGTCAGCATTTATGTGCAGTACTGTACTGTATATTTACAAAGAATATCCTGTAGATAGGTATGCCATATTATGACAATACTCTGCCAATGCGAAGAATTCCAGCAAGGTGAAAATTAAAGTTATCGCAGCGTATCACTGAAAACAAACTTCAGAGGTTATAAATAAGATATGTGTGATAATTCCCCAATTTAAAGCATAAATTCAGATGATAGCTTTGCCAGGCAGTATTGATCAATATAAAAAAACCCTGATCAAATACTGTATTAATAAAGATCTTGTGTTGTCCAAAATACTTCATAACATACTGAGTAACACCTGCAATTTTGGTTTGGTGCCTTTAAACTTTACAGCCAACTAATTTATCTATAAATCATGTGCGCTTGCCACGCACACCAATTGTGTTTGCATAACTCCTTCACTTTTATTTGACTAACACCAGACAATTTTATTTAGCACAGAGGGACCCAATGCACAAGGGGTTAATGGCCTTGGCAATCATCAGGGAAATGAAGTACAGTCTCTCCTCGACTTATGATATATTCGACTTATGACAACCCGGACATATGACGGCCATGGTCGTAAAAATATTTTTCACATTACGTATTTTCAAGTCCCGACGTTAGTGATCGCGCTGTGTACTGACAAAATTTTTGTTTGTAATTCCCTTTAAAATGACTGGCAAGCGTAAAAGTGAGAGTTCTCATGGTGCTGAGAAGAAAAAGAGACACCCATTTTAAAATTTCTATGTATTATTTTCGCCTTTTTAACTTACGACCTGGTCGTCGGGACGGAACCCCATCGTCAGTCGAGGAGAGACTGTATTTCATATTGATTTCAGCATTTTGTAATCTTCACCGGCTGTGTCCTGCTTACATTTACTTTCTTCTTACAGTGTCAACTTGTACCCATGGTCTAACTAAACCATGCTCGTACCAAGACCATCTCGGCCCCTACCCAGTTGTACATAATATTCCTAGCTAGTGGTATAAAAGTGTACCAGAATTAGTGACCTAAGCCAGGTGTGCACCTGCCTCTGGTTAGTCGGTGTCAAGTTGTCAACATTTCAAAGGAAATTATGTTATGTGATCACAGGTGCTGGCTCTGATGCAGATTCGCTGCACCCACAAAGGAATTCAATCAATCAATCAGAGTACCTTCCTCAAATCTGAGGGTTGGCAACCACAGACCTCCACTCTAAATGTTCTTGGGCTGTTTTACCAATCCTCTAAGGTCTTGTATCTCTATGGAGACCCAGTTTTTAATTTCATTCATCCATCCCAGTCTCTGCCTTTACCTAGCCCTCCTAACCTCAACTTTGCCCATTAATATTTCTGTTATTATCCCCTCATCCCAAATTATATAATTATACGACCAAAGTATCTACATTTTCTTTTTCTGTACATTTCAAGTACAGGGGGTATTTCTCTTCATGTTTTGGCTAATCTTAGAACTGTACCTCTTCATTTGTTTTCCTGTCGAGTAGCTTATTATTAGCATTTGCCTATAACACCACATTTCAAAGGCCTCCAACCTCTTTCTGGTGTCGACTGAAAGTGTCCACACTTCTGACCCATACAATAGCCCTTACCATATAAAGTCTTTCATGAGCCTTTTTCCCAAATTGAAGTTAATGTCCCCTTTCATTAAGTATTTTAGAATATTAAATGCCATTTTTGCTTGCCCTATTTTTGTTTTGATTTCTTCCGTACATGTACCATCACAGCTAAAGTTACTTCTCAAATACAGGTACATAAAATTTTCCAATTGTTTAAGTTCCCTGTTGCCTACCATAATTTCTATTTTAAGATTTATTTATAATTTAGAAATGACTATTACATTAGTCTTTACAGTATTAACTTTTAAACCATATTTTTTCTCCTTTTTCCAATAATTTGTTAACAAGTTTTAGTAGTGATTCTTCTCTATCTGTGATAAGAGCAGTATCATCTGCATAGAGTATACACTATACAGGTGTATTTGATACAATATTACAAAGGAATTCGATATCAGCAAAATCATGGAAAAGGGTCATATAAGGTCTTAAAAAGTCCATCCTCATAACGCTCTTCAAAAGTGAAGTGCTTCTCCAATTAGAGTACTGTCACCCCATCCGGTAACTGAGATATGCTAGAGACTGTCAGTTGATTGAAAATGTCCAAGGAGGGCCACCACACTGGTGACTGCAATACAGCACCTTAGTTACCAATTAACCAATCCAACACACTAACTTGGACTGTAGGAAGGTTAGTAACCAATGTGAAGAAAACTCTACAAAATGATATAAGCAACAAAATTTGTATCTTCAGTCATTCCCCCACCATTTTTGTTATTTTCTCTATATTCAAGCATAAAGTTTTCACAGCTACCATTGAAATTTGATGATAAAATTCTAGATTGGTAAATAGTTTTTAGCTAGCTAATTAAAATGGAGACACCAGTAATTAAGAAGGTTAAAATACAGAATTTTCTGATTATGTATAAACTGCCATCCATATTTTAGGTGGAAATTTACAAATAAACTTACTTGTTAGGCAATGGAAAAAAGTCGATTACAGCCATCTAGGCAAAATAAAATGGCAGAAAAAAGTAAATTATGACGACTGAAGGATTAATGATACAATCCAATTTACAGTATCCCCTGATAAAGATCCTCTAAGCATCACAAAGTAGCTAAATAAATATTTCACTAAAAGTTGTGGTCGTAAATTCAAGATGGCAGAGAGTAGCTTTGGCATTATGTGCAAGTCTCCTATCTTCAGAAGGCAACTTTACACCTGATCTCCTTCATTTGAGAGCAATGTTTGTGATGATGGTGCCAACTGAAGATAAGATCAGATGGCTTAGAAACCCCAGCAGAGTATGTGGAGTAACAGGAGCCACCTCGTTCAGGAGCACGCGAGAAAACTGTTGAAATTTGAGAAACATAGTTAACCAATCTTCCTGATACACTGAACTGCCAAGGGGATTGAACAGTTCTGCCTACTGAGCAAAACATATACTGTACTATATATACATTTTTTTTATCCTTTAAATGAGGGAAATGCAGTCTTAATTTCTTTTTTTTTAGATTGTCTAGAATTCATTAGGTTTTCAAACTCACACCCTCTTTACCAAGATTCAAAGTAAAGTACATTTAATGCTCTAGCCATTAGGTGTGATTTATAAAGTACAGTATTATATCCGTTAGTCAGAATCCCTCTTAACTGCAACTCAACGATAGCTGGAATTTAAATTTTCCGAAGGGCATATTTTCTGAAAAATTCTGAGAAAATTTTCTCGGCACCTGGAAAATTCCAGGAATGGGATATTTTTCTGGGTTTGAGAGATGAAAACCAGGCGCATTTGCCAGAAATTCTGAGAAAATTTTTCTGGAAAATTCAAAGGATGAGGATTTTTTTTCAAGCTTTGAGAAATGAAATAATGCATCATTCTGGAAATTCCCAAGAAAATTCCGGTACCGGTACCCAAAAAATTCTGGGGATGGGGAATTTCTTTCTCGGGTTCAAGAGGTGTTGCACAGGTAATGCGCAATTTCTTGAACTTCCGAGAAAATTTTCCCTAGTACAGTGCCCAGAATATTCCGGGGATGAGGGATTTTTCCCCTTCGTTGAGAGTCATCTAGTTACCCAAAAACCTCTCATTCGCGGAAGTGCTTTGCATCACTGTTCTGGCTAACAGAGATAACACTGTGCTAAGGGTAAATTAAAAAAAAAAAAAAAGTAAAATAAAATAATAATAATTATAACTGAATAATGCATTTGAAACAAGTGTAAAAATTACAAACGAACTTTGCTACCTTATCATAACAGGTGTGAAGCGTGATGGAGCCATATTGCATGATGGTGTATAAGAATAATTTCCAGGGTGGTCCTGCCATTGAGGAGCTTGATACTGCTTCTTGCCATCACTGGTCACTATTTGTGTGCTACAAGCTTTGCAAAGCTCATCTGGTCCTAGAGTGCTGAAAAATTCCAAGTTATGAAAACTTTGATTAGGTTAAGATGAAAACTTAATTTTCCGATAATAGTGTGACAATCAACTACATTACCTGTCAAAAGAATTTATTTTTATAACCTAAGTATTATTACTACAGGTTGTACCTCTCTAGTCCGGCATTCTGTGGTCCGGAAACTCCCGTGGTCCGGAACGATTTTAGTTTGTCCAATAGGTAGATAAGCAGCTTTTTTTTTTCTTTTGTTTTTCTGAATTATTATTATTATTATTACTGGAGTATTGCATTTTCGCCCTTCAGGCTCCAATGTGGGTCAGTGACCTGTGCCCGGGTGGGCTAATCCCCGTAAAAAAAATAACAACAAAGCCGCGAGAAATTATGGTTTGTTTACATCTGGCAGTTCGGCTCTCTCTCTCTCTGTTTGTCTATACAGTACAGAGTACAACATTTAACCCTTCAATATATATGAACAGTAAATAAGTGTTGCTTTCATATTCTTATGTAGAGTAATGACGATATGTTTTTCACATGTGCGCACTTACATACTCGCAGTCTCACTATTTTTTCTTTAACATTAATGGTTTGCTACTTTTATTGTTCTATTTATTAACATTATATAACATTACTTAAAACAACCATATTAATTTTTTACGTTAATTTTACTACAGCTACAACCAGGGTCTTATTTTCTTGTTTTATATGTAGAACCACTCAGTCACTGGTTTTGTTATTATCAACGAAAACAATGCTGTCTCATTTCCTCGTGTGTGTTAATATTCTACGTATTATTAATGAATTGTATTGCTCATTTTGCACATATAAACATTAATTCAATAAAAAAGACATTCAGTAATAAACAATAATGAATCTTTTGTACATAAGAGAAATGATGCTGTTTAGATGATTGTGCACGTCGTCTGAACGTTGGCGAGCCGTTCAAACCCGTCGAAATTCGAGTTTCCGCCGTAAAAATTTTAAATTATGTAGTGTTTTTTTTGTGTGTGTGTGTGTGTGTCCAAATAAAAAACGGTGAATTAAAAACTTGTGAAATTTGAGAAGCTACTGTACGACATTTAACCCTTCAATATGTCTTCAAAGAGACCGCGAAGCAGTGAAAGTGGTGCTAACTTAAGCACAAGTCACTATCTGTCCAGGAAAAGGGTGAATTTCCGTGGTCCGGCACCGGTCAGGTCCCGAGGTTGCCGGACTAGAGAGGTACAACCTGTACCATAAAAATCTTTCAGCAAAGTATCTTTTTTTTCTTTCTTTTTTTACGGGGATTAGCCCACCCAGGCACAGGTCAACGATCCACAATGGGGTCTAGGGGGAGAATAATAAGAATAGAAAGAAATTATAAATAGAAAAGGAAAAGGTTATACAGTAGTAATCTACACAGCAAAGATGCCAGAAAACCAGCTTTTTAAAGTGAGACAGATTATATGAGTATGGAAACACAGGAGGCAGAGCATTCCACAGTTTTGCTGTGTGAGGAAAGAAGGATGCACTATAATGGGTTATTCTAGTGTGAACAAACATCCACAGAGAAACGATGGGCACCGCGGGCAAGACTTGTGTCACGAGCCCACGGCCTTGCCAACGGTACACAGGATGCCAAATCCACCGAACATTGCCTGTTAAAGTACCTGTAAAAGAGAGAGAGTGAAGTAACATTGTAGCGAAGAGAAAGGGAAGAAAGATTGTCAACTAAAGGAGGGGATTTAATAAGACGAAATGCCTTTGATTCCACCCTATCTAACAGTTGGACACAAGAAGAACCACCCCAGATATGAGAGCAGTACTCCAAGTTAGGACAAATAAATCCGTCATATACTTGAAGCAACTGCTCAGGAGTGAAGTAACTATGATACTTTTGAATACTACTGGTTGATTAGCAAAGGCCTAAAGTAGAGAATACAGTACAGAGAATAAAGTTAAGTGTAGTGAATTTAAATTAATTAAATTTTATTTTTATCATAATTTTTGTCTTTAGATAATGTAGAGAACTGATCATTGGCGTGTTGATTGTAAATGGGGTAGATACAAAATCTGTTAACTTGCTTAAGTTCTTGTGCAGGGGGCCTCCAATATTGGAATACAATACAGTATTTATCTTTGGAATGACCTTCCCCCTATAAGTCTGCCATGTAAGAATATACTGTACCAGTACTGACTATATTTTACCCACGTTAACTTGAGTACTGTACTGTATGTTAAAGTTTCAGATAAAGTTTGTGTTTATTTTTCCCCTATAATCATGAAAATTTTGTGCACATTATTGCCTTCACAGATAAAAGACATTTTGTGACAAATTCTTCAGTATTTGATACTGCAAATTGAGTGATAATAAAACAGTACCTATGTTAATGCAATTTTGAAACCCTAACATGGTTTTTGAAATACTTTATAAAGATTGCAAAATCAGACCCATATCATAAATCATGAATGTAAAGTATTCCTATTGGTGCTACTATAAGTCTGCGGTCTAGTGACCTGGAGTTGGTCTACTGGGATATTTACACCTAACCTAGGTTAAGTTAATGGATGTTACAGTATAAATATCCGGGTAGACACAATTCCAGCTTGGTAGACCGCACAATAGAATACAGTAGCTTCAGCTAGGTAGATCCCATACTATATACGTACAGTCGTAGCTTCAGCTTGGTAGACTGTATACGATAGTAGCTTCAGCTCGGTAGACCGCATACTACTGTACAGTATAGTAGCACCCCAAGTTTTAATTAATACTGTATTCTTACATTATATTATCTTTATTTCTAACTCACTGGATTATAATGAATTTTCCACAACTTTCATTGCATTACTGTTGACTTTTAGTGGTTGTAGAACATATCCCAATTTTACCCATAAGATTAAGATTAACTATATGCGGATTCCCATTGTGCCGTGTTGTCACAGAATGCAACCATAGCATAAAGCGAGGGTCAGGTGTATTTACAGAATCACAACATATATCAGTACAGTATAAAGTGCAATCTTAACTGTTTAACAGAAAACTAAATTATTTCACATAGGGACTTGTTATCCCTATATGCTCAGGTCAAGATATTAAAGACAATAGCTTTATTAAAACCATATCTGAAACCACAACTGGGTAGATATTTTGTGGTGTGACTTATGGTAAAGGTGAAGGAGACGGTTAGCACCAGGACTTTATGGAATTGCACCAAATTTTTGGATGGTGTTTGGATGATACGGAGCAATAAAATTGAAACAACAACATTGTAGTATTTTTTCCTTCTTTTTAGCCCATCCTCTGATAAAAAATTACTTGTTAGTGGGGAGGGCAAGAAAGATGGAAATAACAAACAGCGTAAGAACACTGCAAACACTGATCATATGGCACCAATTTCATGTTGTTTGAATGATCGTAAGAAAATCTGGTAAATTTTTACTTTAGGACATGAGTCCTTAGGGGTTGACCAATATGTTTTTAAAGTGTATTTTGGTGTGTTTTAAACGAATCTGAAATTCATTTTTGGCAGAAATCGATCGTTTTTGCCCCAATAATGGGGGAGAACCTGGAAAATCGGGGTTTTTGGGAGGGGAAGAAAATGAAAACGAGTCATCTAACTTAACAAAACCTAACCTAACCCCGGGAATCCCCCCCTGAATTCCTGGTAGGCCTAGCTTAAACTTACCTAAATGTTTCAGTAGTTAGAAACTTTGGGGCGCGCCATGTCCGAAAGTACAATAACTTACTTAGAAGTGGAAGGACCAGAGATACATAAGAATTGGATAGAATGATCGTCATTCTCGTAAAACTCAGCAATAAACTTAAAATAATCGTAGGAGCACAAATGACAACCAACCTCCACCACAGCCATTGTGAAACTGATCAATGAAATTAAAATCATACCCAGGCTGCTTCCTTTGAAAAAAATAGATAAAAATCAAAAATCAAATGTAGTTGGTCGAAAAAATTCACGTGATATCGATACCTCATTGGTCACGACTGGATGATGTCAGTAAACATTGCGCATGCGTGATGTGCCGATAGCATCATCTCAGAGAAGACTGAAAACTACTTAAAATCAATTAAATTCAATTGTGTCGCTATTATCCATTTCGGCCCGTATATATGGGGTTCAAAATGCTCAGAATAGCGAGATCTAAATGTTTCAGTAGTTTATAACTTTCAGGGGTGCTATGTTCTAAAGTAAAATAATACCGAAAATCTAAACGTCACGGCACAGGTTAGAAAGTTAAGGCAAAATTATGGTAAATTTTTACTTATGTACCGGTCTTTGTTTGGATATTAAAAATATGTTTTTCCGATGAAATTTTAAGAGTTTTGAGTGAATTTGATATTCATATCTGCTGGAAATCGCTAGTTTTTGCTTCTCCCCCCTTCAACAATTATTGGAAGGAGGAGAGGGGGAGTGGAGCCTGGGAAATTGAGGTTTTTGGGTGGGGAAGAAAATGAAAATGAATCATCTAACCCAACAAAACCTAACCTAACCTAACCCCTAGCCGGGGGCTCTGCCCCCGGACCCCCGGTAGGCCTAGCTTAAACTCACCTAAATGTCTCGGTAGTTTAAAACTTTGGGGCGCGCCATGTCCGAAAGTACAATACCTTAGTTAGACGTGGAAGGACCAGGGATACATAAGAATTGGATAGAATGGTCGTCTTTCTCGTAAAACTCAGCAATAAACTTAAAATAATCGTAGGAGCACAAACGACAACCAACCTCCACCATGGCTATTGTGAGACTGGTCAATGAAACTACCCAGGGTGCTTCCTTTGAAAAAATCAAATGTAATTGGCCGAAAAAAAATTCACGTGATATTTATACATCATTGGTCATGACTGGATGACGTCAGTCAATATTGTGCATGAGTGATACGCAGATAATATCTCCTGAAGTTCTTGAGCCATTGTGAGAAGAAGGTAAAGAAGGCAAATAAATTATTGGGTCTTATAAGAAGGTCGTTCAGATATCTAGACGGTCAGTCCCTTATAACGATATTCAAGAGTGAAGTGCTTCCCCATTTGGAGTACTGTCACCCCGTCTGGTCCCCGAGATATGCTAGGGGCTGTCAGTTGGTTGAAAATGTTCAAAGGAGGGCCACCAGACTGGTGCCTGCACTTCGGCACCACAACTACCCTGAGAGATTGGAGCGCCTGAACTTGCCTAGCTTATACTACAGATGGGCAAGGGGCGACCTAAATGAGGTGCACAAGCATCTCAAGGGGCACTACTCAGTAGAGTATCCTTACTTGGAGCTGGCGGACGCTCGCCCCACAAGGGGTCCCAGCTCAAGATAGAAGAAGCCGCAGGTCCAGAAAACTGTGAGGGCAAACTTTTTCGGAGTGACAGTTGTGAGCTTTTGGAACAATCTATCAGAAAGTGTTGTGACGGCACCGAGTGTAAGCTCTTTCAAAAACAGACTTGACCAACACTGGAGCAGGTTCAGGTACATTCAAGAACCGGAGATTAACTCAGATTAAATTAAGTTAACCAATTTTTTGTGACTTCGTGACACCAAATACCAGTCGAGAAGTGATTGGCAGTCCGATTTATTCATGTAGGACCATTATTCGACTTCATTGCAGCTACATTTGGGTAATTACTCGCTCCCTCGGTACATGCACACGATCTATTAACTCAAATTAAATTACGTTTTCCAATTTTTTTTTACTTTGTGACACCAAATACTAGTCGAGAAGTGATTGGCAATACGATTTATTCATGTAGGACCATTACTTGACTTCATTGCGGCTACATTTTGGTAATTAGTCGGACCCGTCTCATCCACTTTTACACAACGGCACCAAGTGTGAGCTTACAGTACTCCAGACTTGACCAACACAGGCGCAGAGACATTCTGGAGCCAGTACATACTCAGTACTTGCCAATAGTGCCTAAGTGATGTGACCGACCGCCAAGTAGGTAATAAGCCGATCAGTGGCGAATAGGATAAAGTAATGTCAAGTAAAACGAACATGAACTTACAGCTCGAACCCTAGCTAATTGACATATCCCTTTACAAAACCAAAATTTCCCTTAACAACACTGGCAGCACTTACCAAGCTGTTCTACCACACATTGTTTAGACAAGGGTAAGGTATGGGATCCTTCAGCGCACAAAAAATATCTCCCAATTGAAGTATACGAGTTACAGAAAGCATATACAAGTGTCAACTTGAACTGTGTACGCTCCTCAGTGTTGCCATCTACAAATCTACATTCCCGCTATATGAGACTCCAAAACCCGCTAGATTTGACCCCTAACCCGGAAGATTGTAACTGTTCAGATAATAGCAAGTATTACCCTCTTTATATCTACCGTATATAGATATATAGACAATTAAACTGATTAATATATATAAATAAATAGAATGATATAGAAAGTATGGTACATAGAAGTATAGCTAATTAACACACCGATGGGCATAATGTCACAAAAGTAATATGGATGTATAATCAACATCAAAGGATATGCATGGCCTACCTTTAAAGCAGGAAGAGAGGAATTATCAAATTCCTCTACCTCTGTTTCCTCTCAAGATGTACTTGCTCTTGGTGTTGATTTCAGCATTGGTTCACTGACGTATGCATTGCTAGTTCCAATCAATTTCAAGATATAAGCCGATATTTCATATTCAAAACAAGACTTTTCATTTCTTTTCAAACCTGCTCGCATTGCAAGAAGAGCATTAGCCATTTTTCCCCATTCTGTTTCGAAGTTATTTTTCACTATATCTAACTGGCCGAATATCCTTTCTACTTCAGCCTTAGAGTGGGGTAAGACGAGAACTGATAAAGCAAACTATGCCAACTTTTTTTTTTTACGGGGATTAGCCCACCCGGACACAGGTCACTGACCCACATCGGGGCCTGGGGGGCGAAAATGTAATAATAATAATAATAATAATAATAATAATAATAATAATAATAATAATAATAATATATAATAGTCATAATAATTCATAATGAATAAATTTTATGATAAAACAAACAAAAATAAAATAATAAAATAATGATAATAATACAGTAAATGTAATAATAATAATAATTTTATTAATAAAGAACTATAAATACAAAAATGAAAAAAAGATCAAAAGTGAGAAACGATATATGCATGTTGTATTGTCAATGATAAGAGAAACAATTGAGACCCTGCAATTGTGTGTACATGAGGCAGAAAGTCAGATGAGCAACCTGGTACTTGGTCACAATTTTCGTGATGCTATATGGCAGCAGGGTCTACCATTAGACAATATATTATGCTTCCAATATCTTCCCAGGCGGTAGTACCTCCCTGTTTGGTAGCTGCCTACTACCTTGAATGGATTACAATGTAGATGCGTCCATGTAGTTATGTACTTCATTCAAAAAACAGGACAGTTTGTGAAACTTCATTCCACTTCACTGATTGTCTATACTTATGCAAGTATAATTATATAACTAAAGCCGCTAGAAATCCGCTAAGAAACCCGCTAGCAGCTAGACAGCAAATTTATCCGCTAGATGGTGGGTCAAAACGTCAAGATTTAGCGGGAAAACCGCTAAAATGACAAGCGTTTGTGTGACTGTATGTGTGTGTGTGTTTTTTTTTTATTATTTATTGGGCACCCCCCTACATCCTTGTGTAAGGTGAAGCGCAGAAGCGTTTACAGCTTGCCTTTATGTCTCATGAGTTAAGGGCGTAGAAGCCTGAAGAGTCAGTGGTTTATGTCATCAAGTTATTGGAAGCTCCAACAACTCCCTGAATACGACTTCGCAACTTTCGACTTACAACAGGTACCTACTTTACTGCTAGGTGAACAGGGACTAATGGGGGCTAGGAAGTAAGTCCAAACAACTTCCACCGGCCCGGGAATCGAACCCGTTGGAACAGGGCCGGATTCAGGAGAGGGCAAAGTAGGCAGCTGCCCAGGGGCCTCCACATGTGCGGTAGTAGCCATATCAGGGTTGTTTGTTTAAAAATAAATGAGGTTTAATGGTACTGTTCGTAAAAACCTCAAACATTCACCATATTGAAATTATTTATTTAGCCCTGAAGCGGCTGGGAAATTGTTGCGGTAAATAAATTATGAGCTGTGCTTCAGTTATTCATTATAGCTTCAAATACTATTTCATTCATTATTATCTAAGATATGTTAATATGACTGTTGGCAAAATTTAGGTGGAGAAAATTTCAATGGTTATAAAGTAGTGGTACAGCGGTAACGCGCATAACTCTCACTTACAAGGGTTCGAGCCTCGGCCGGAAACACGTGAAAAGGGTGTTATCCAGTGTGACCCTACCAAGGTCAATATAGGTACACCTTTCAATGACAGAGAGCTGGTAGTAGAACTCTATATAACTAATCAATGTTTCAAAGACTTGGATATTGGCAATGAAGTAGAAAAAAAGTTAAGTGGTGAGTTTAATGAAAACCTAGGAGAGTGTATAAACCCTGACAAAAATGACGGTAAAGCAATGGATTTAGTCATAGAAGAGGAAGCTCTTAGGTACGTTGGTGGCTATATTGTAAGAAGGTTTAGCGTGAAATACCCTCACTTAGGCCAGAAAGTCACTCAGTGCACATCCATGACCAAAACATGGACAGAAGAAATAAACAGAGGTGAACTGTATGTTCCTTCTGACACTATTTTCTCAATTAACCATTATGAGAGACGTATTTAAGGCTGTACATGGGGATAGTCTTATGGAGGGGAAAGACTGTTTCAAAACAACTGTGTCTAAGATAGAGAGTTGAAGTTTATGTACCCCAGGATGTTTTATCCTTCTTTGCCAAAATATCTGTGTTCTTTAGAATTCGGAAACGGAACAGTGGTATTAAGATAAGTAAAAAAAAAAGTAAGAATTGCAGAAGAGAAAATATAAAATTTATGAAAACATCATAATGATAGTAAGAAAAACAGATTGTCTTGGGTTACATATGATGTAAATCATATATGTTATTTATTTATAACTTACGTGTGTAAATAAAATATAAGTTATCATGATATATTTATTCCCCCTTTCGATGCATACACACTAATACGGAAACGTTTCAGAGGAGGCAGTTATGAACTCAAGTGCACAGATAAATTGCACTGAAATAAGCGTATGAATTTCAGGAAATTAGTATGAATATTCAAATAATGCCAGCTCACCTTCCTTCCACAATGAAGGGACGAAAGTGGCCAGACCCTTTACGACACCCTTTTAAATAGCCTCTCTTACTATAGCTACATCTTTCTCCTTCTTTCCGAGCTAAACCCCCTATACCAGGATATAGGAAACGGGGTTATGATGAAGATACTGTAAAGATAGACAGACTAGTGGAGGGAACGGGCCAGCCAGCTATAGTTCACGTGACACTGCGCAGAGCGAGCGAAAACGTGACCGCTGTCCAGCTGACCTCTCTATATTGACCTTGGACCCTACCAAACACCACAGGTTTCCCGGTACCCAGGTTTCCTCCTGTACTAACACTGGATAAACCGCCCAAACGGCTGGTAAGCTGATGGGTGACGAATATGATAAAAAATAGAGATATACAGCTCAAGGTTGAAGAAGCCGCAAGCCCAGAAAACTGTGAGGGGTAACTTTTTCGGAGTGGGAGATGTGAACTCTTGGAACAATCTGCCAGAGAGTGTTGTGACGGCACCGAATGTGAGCTCTTTCAAGACCAGACTTGACAAGCACTGGAGCAGGTTCAGATACATTCAGGAGCCGGTGCATGCCCAGTACTTGCCAACAGTGTGTAACAGAGACGTGACCGATCGCCCAAGCGGCTAACGAGCCGATCAGTGGTGAAGAGGATAAAAGTAAAAAGTAAAAGTTGATAATTTCGGAGGTTGACGAGGACTGAAAAGTTCAAAACTACTTTTACTGGCGATAATTCTTGATGACATAGCACAGTTAAAGGAGATAAGAACAAAAGCTAGGACTGAACCTTGGATGACTAGTGAGATATTAGAATGTATCAGGCAGAGATCAATTAGCTTCTAAGTTTAAAAAAGGCAGACATGACGAATCACGTAATGAAGTTTGTAGGCTAAGAAACAAAATACTGTACTGTTAGATATAAAGCGAACGAAATCAGAATGTTTAAACAATAATATTAAGGAAAATAAGATATCCCATAAAATCTCTCGAAGCAACTAAGAACCCTTGGACACAGCCACAAACTATTCTAGAGACCTTACAGTAATGAGCTGAGCTCTTCCACGACACATCAGAAGATGCAAACTACTTTAATTCCTTTTATACGACAGTTTTCTCGTATTTAGTTAATAAACTGCTGATGTCCTCAAGCAATTAGGGTGTGGGGGTAGCTTGTAGCGACTGAAGAATAATATTATGTAATATAATGTAATTATGTAATATAATGTAATGTAATATAGTTAACAGATGCCTATAATTGTTGTAACTAGCCATTTTGCTCATGTAACTGTTGTTGAATCGGCTGGCTGACGTGGCTGAACTTGGTTCGAAACTTGAGCCGAGACAGCTTCGTTCAGTCAGCTGGCATATACTGTATAGTACTCCTGGGCGGCCTCGGAACGGCAACCTCACTCTCGCTCCATGCTGGAGCACAATTCTCCAAGCCACACCAATAAACTGGTAACCGTAGCCTGAGTTTTCCTGGACCAAATCCTACAAGCTTTTAAACCCCACAAGAGAAAGGAATCACTTCAGTCTTGAACACATACAGTACAGTGACAGGGGACTTTATTCTAAAGGAAGTTAAAAAATACTGAGCCCCTACAAGAGCTCAGGTAGTGCGAGCATCTAAGCCAGTTTTTTTTAAGAATGGTGCCACTTTATTAAAAACACCAATAACATATTTAATTAATCTCTCCATCAGTACCAATACCATACCAGATGAATATAAATTTGACAGAGTAATAAGTCTGGTGTAAGTAATTACAATTCAGTTAGTATCCTGTGTATTGTATCAATAGTTCTAGAGAACAGTGTATGTTCAGATGGATATCTCCGTAATTATAATATTCTGTACAGCTACTAATCAGGCTTTAAGGGCTCTTACTCGAAATTACAAATTACGCGGATATGGTCGCGTTAGACTTACAAAAAGCCTTCAACAAAGTCGATCATGATATACTATGTATAAGACTGTATGTTCTTGGCATTGGGTCTGCTAGCTGGTTTAAATCATATCTCAGTAACAGGAAACAAATTGTCGTTGCAAATAATTCCGAATCAAGATACACGCCATTA